TCCTGGTTTGCCTGCCAACTAACCGCCCACCGGTTTAAGCCTCCCACCTTTCTTTCGCAACATAAGAGTACAGTTACACCTTCAAAAGATAGGACATAAGGACATGAGCGAAAGTTATGTATGATAATGAAGCCGCCTGCCTAAAACCGCGTGCGCGCCTGATAACCCGCCGGCCACCATGAATGACCACCGTTCCGATCCGAATCCGATCCATCCCGCCGCCGAAAAATGCTTTGCTTTGCTCCCCTTTAACACCCCTTATTTCCCCTATTAACCATTTGTGCTATAGTAAAGGGTACAAAAAGTTTGTAAAACAAGAAAACAGTAAAAAAAGCCGTTGACGTATATTGAAGTGTATAAGTCATGTTCATCGTCATCCCGTTTGCGGCGTCTCCCATGAATGTGCTTTCATTTCCGAAATCCTTTGCGTGAGCAAAGTTCCTCCACACACCAAGTCTATTGTATGTAGCAAAGACGCTAGGAAAAAAAAAGAAAAAAGAAAAAAAAAAGAAAACGCAAAAAGACCAAACGATAGAGGGGTATATTGTTGAAAGCACAGACCGAAAACAGACAAGTAGGAAATTGAATTTTGAAGCGAGAGGCGCTTTTTTTAGGCCTTGAGCGCAAGAGTGGTGGTTGCCGTGGCACCACCCTCTGCCCTCGGAGCATGGGCGAACATGCGGTGGAATAGATTACGACGCTCTCCGCCAGCACTGCGGTAGGTCAGCTTGACAAGAGTAGCTTCGTCGAATCCAAAGTTCTCCAGGCAGGTCTGCTCATCATCAGCTTCCAGCTTCTCGCCGCTGTAGGCAGCTTCCCAGCCATATGGATCCACAGTGGGAGGCTTGAGATACTGATCCTGAGAGTGATCAACAGCGAGGAACTTGGAGCGTAGGTTTGAGGCCGAGACAGTGCGGAGCGGGCTGCTGACAGCGGGCTTGTTGTTGGTAGCCGACTTGTCAACGGTGACTGCGGGGTTGCTCGAAATGGCCCTTCTAACTCTGGGGCGAGTAAATCGCCTTGCGACACCTTCAGGCGTCGTTCTGATATATGGCGTATAGCCTTTTGCGGCCATGCCATCCTTGTGAAGCCTACCCTCGCGGCCAGCATCTTGAACTGCGTTGTTATTACCGGCCATTGGCGACGGAATATGCTGACCGGGGGTGGACTCTTCCCATTGGACCAGAATAGGTGGTTCCAACTTGACATCTGCTACATCCTCCATCGAATAATCCGAATTGATAGACTCGGCCGAGGTGGTAGGATGGAGGCGGGGGGAAGAGCGGGCTCCATCAAGAGCTGGCATGACCTGTAATCCCTATAAGGGGTTGCTGGCGCTCTGTCTGGCATCAGGCAAACCAATTTCGTACCCATAGCCTGTAGAAGGGACGCTAGTGGTCTGGGAGCGCTTGCTACGGCTCTTCTTTCCCAAACCCAGCTTTGCGCCCATCTTCTTCCAGCCGCTGGCGTGCATGGCCCTAGAGATACCGCTGGGGGAGGTGCCAAAGGTCCAGTCTGCGCTAGGCGGTGTGGTGGGCGGCGTCATGGGCTCGTTTCCAGAAGGATAACCGGAACTGCTGTCATCAGTAAAGCCGTCGATAGGTGAGTCGGCCACGGTTGATGAGGAAGCCGATCGGCTGGAGGTCTCGCTCTGCCACCCGAAAGTGTGCAGAGGAAGAAGGCCGCTGGCCTTTGATGATCGGTTCGACTGCTGGCCATCATGCTGAGGAGGAGGTGAGGCTCCACCATGTGTACGTCTGGGATCGTGGACCAGGTCCTTCCAGTACGAGCGGGAATGGGAGAGAGAGTGAGAGTGGGAGTGAGAATGTGAGTGTGAGTGTGAGTGTGTTGTTGAGTGAGAAGAAGTAGGCTGAGTAGGCGCAGGCGAAGGCGAAGGGGTAGGCGCTAGTGATTCCAAGAAGGGTCCGAGTATCGAACCTTCCATGAGATCATAGGTGTAAGCCACTGCCTGGTCAAGCTCCGAGGGGCACGGCGGTTGCTCAGCGCAAGAGAGCTGCACTAGCCGGTCGCGGACGTGAGCCGGAAGGTTGACTTCGTGGCTGCTGTTGGGCCGGATATAAGCATTCATGAGCTTCTCCCACATAGATCGCAGCTGGTGGAGACCATCAGGTGTAGGACGGCATCTCCCGAGCATGATGTCGTTATACGCCTTGCGATACTGGTCAGCACCAAGGGTGAACTCGAGCGTCTCGAGACAGTGGTTGTGGGACAGGAAGGCAAGGAAGGCGCCAAAAGTATATGGTGCGGGCGCGGTGTTGGACAGAATGTCTCGCAATGAGGGTGGCGGTATCGCCATGGAAGAAGGTCTGGATTGGGCCATGGTGGAATCGGTGTCGGAGTGGTCGGAGTCGGAAGAGAATCGCGCTGATTTCCTGCGCGATGGGCTGAGGCTCAAAGTTCGTAGCCGCGCCGGTGGCATCCTTCCCAACACGGAGCGCCCGACAATCGATAAGGCGAAGTGTGGATGGTTGGACTTGCAGAGCAGATGAAGGCTCTTGTGCAGCCAGAAAAGGACCAGATATCGGGAAGCGTCCTCACTCCATTCGGTCGGAGGTGACTTGGCGACCGAAGCAGACCGTTATATACAGGCCGTTTGCCCTAGGTACAGGGAAGGGAGCGGCAGAAGGGCACTGTTTTGGGAGTGCGCGGTTGCCCGACACCCGTACAATGCACGTAACCTTTTGGCTCCGTTGCCGGCCTAGTAAACCAATTGCGGCAGGACTGATCGGGAAGCGGCAGGTCTCCAAGTCCGTCGTCGACTCGTTCTGGGAGACAAAGCGTGGGCTAGAAGTCACGTAGAAGCTGCAGGCAGCCGGGTACCGGACCAGATCGTAAGCCGATTAATCTGCGACTGGGTTTAAGCCGTGGTTGTCGAGTGCGGAGGCAGCAGGATCGTAAACCTGTCTGACTTGCACGTCTGTATGTCTAAGCCAACAACACGAGATGCTAGGCAACACAGCAGACGCTCAATAAACCGATGAATATCCCTATCCCTGTCGGTTGACGGTAGTGGTGATGCGTCGTGGTTGCGAAGTCGGCGCGGTGGTGCTAAATGTCGTCGATGAAGTTCGTTCGTCCAATTGATTTGATCCTCCCACACAGTTGATGGTTGGTAAGTAGTAAATGAACTGAAATCCAACTGAGTTCCAAATGACGTCTAGAATGGATGGGAATCGGAAAAAAGCCGGGGCGATTATCGAAAGACGGTGGTGGATCGAATCGAACAACTAAGTAGTAATAAATGAGTGCGAGAATGATGGGGGACGGCGACCAAAGGAAGGTGTTGCTGTTGTTATTGTCGTTGTCGTTGTTGATGTGGTGTTGTGTTGTGTTGTGGTGGTGTTAGCTGTGTTTGGTTGTTGCTAGTGGACAGCAGCAGCAGGCAGTTATGCAGCAGTCGCAGCAGAAGCAAGGTGCAGTTGCAGGTGCAGATTGTTGCAGAAGAGAAGACAGTGAGAAGGGCGACGGATATGGAATGCAGGTGACGACTCGGATTGCTGTTTGGTGGGTGTGGAGTCGATCCAGTGTAAGTGACTGAGACGGTGTTGACGATGATGCGGCTTTGCGAGACAGAAAGTGACAAGTCGACAAGACAAGAGCCAAGGTTTCGGTTCGCCGGTAAGGACGTTGCGCGCGAAAGGATTGACGACGGTTTTTAAAAATCAAATAAAAAAAGGAGGGTGGGATGTGGTCTGTACAAAAAGGGAAACCGACGAAAGGTCGGCCAGGAACCGTGGTTGGCCAAAGGACGAATGACGACCCGAGTCTCGTGTTGGTGGGTGGTGGTCCCAGAAGAATGGAAGCTGGAAGCCGGGCGCGCAGCAGCAGGACCAGGACCCAAAAGTTCCCGCGATGGCAAAAACGGGGCGCTAGGCGCTCGCTTCCCTTCCCACTGACCTAGCAAGCAAGGTTCCCTCTCTCACAACAAAGAAGGGCCACCCCGAGAAGCGGCGGTCCCAGGAATGCCAGTGGAGTCAGTCAGTCAGGTCCAGTGAATGGAAGCCACCCACTCCAGTGCCAGCCAGGTCCCAGCGCTTTGGTGCGAGGCGGCGGGCGGGATGACCGTTCGGCGTCGGGCGGTTCCCCTTCCCTTCTTCTGTCTGTTTGCAGGACAGGAGTGGCCAGTGCACGGAAAGTGGAGTACAAGTATGAGATGGACTGCTGGCGGGCTGGCATCAACAAAGAAAATAAGTGCTCTTTCCCTTCAGTCTTCTACAAGTACCTACACTACACTACAACGCAAAAGATAAATCCGAGATTGCATCAAGCAAGATGTGCAGATCCGGCTGAGCAAGTTCAGGTGCAATAAGATTGCTGAGTGAATGAAAGGGACAAGACTGTTCATGAATCTGCCAGATCATGGGTGTGCCGCCTTCCAGGGTGCCTGCCTGCCTCTCTTTCTTCCCTCTTGGAGCCTTGTTGCAGTGAGCGACACGGAACCGCACAAGAAGGGAATGGGAGGAGCCTCCCAAGAGGCCATGCTCCCACGGTCCCCAGCAAGCGAGTGACCAGCAGCACCTTGTTCTTGGAGATGTGGGTGCGGCACGACGAGACGAACAGGGGCCGTGACAACATGCAATTCGCTGCACTTTGCTGCTTGGGCGAACATCTGCCCAGCCAAACCAGCTTCTCGCACCATTCCCTGCGTGTCCAAAGTCCATCCTTCGCCCACCCTTGGACCACGCCCTTGCCAGTCTGCAACCCCCTGCAAAAACCCTGCAAAGCCCTGCCACCTCCCGTCAAGGGACTTGGCCAGTCAGAGTGGTTGCATGAAGCGGCTCGAAGGGTTGCGGGTGCAAGAGGCGTCAGTGGGCGTCATGGTGGGCGACCGACCTTTGGAACAGTCAACAAGTCTCCAGGACATGGAGACATCTGAATTGAGTGATTGCAGAATCCATCGTCTGGGTCTGGGGTCCTCGTCGGGCGTGGAGCAGGTCACTGATAAGGACGGCTCCTCCTCTGCCTCCATCTCCACCGCCTACCCCGTCTTCGGCCGTCACGCAATTCTCCATTTTTTTTAGTTTGAATTCGCTTGACTGATTGACTGATTGACCCTTTTTTTGACCAACAAACTCCCCAACTTGCTGACCACGAGGCAGCCGTTTGTCGGTCTTGTCACTCTGACTAATCGTTAGCCAGCGTCGTATCGAAACTGAAGTCAATCTAGTGGAGCGGGGACTGGCATCAAGAGCATTGGATTGGCGAGACTGGTGAGACTGGGGGAAGACACACCTCACCGTCGAGGTTCTGAGGGTGAACCGAGGCAAGGGTGGGTCGGATGAATTGCGACCTAGAAGCCTTCTAGAAGCCTTCTCCTTTTGGGATGATCTCTGAAGAAGCAGACGACATCGGACCAACCAAAGAGGAAACCTTAACGACCAGACTCCACCAAAAGATCCACTTGATTGTCGGTGGAGTTCTCGGACTCACCCCACTTACAGTGAGACCGATCATGATTGGATTGGCCTGGCACTGGCACGCTGTCGCTCTTTTGCACTCACCGCAGTGTTCTGACCGTCGCTCCCTTTTTTTTGTTCTGTCAATCTCCAAGAGGCGCCAACCAGAGCCAAGCGACGCCAAGACCCTCCAAGACCACCTTCGTTACCCACCTGTCAAGCCGTGTTCCGGATGCTGCAGGGTAAGTACATAGTAAAAAGGCCATGATGTCTGCTCCCCTCCAACTGGCCACTGCCTGTTCCCTTGGATACAACGCAGCTACGGCAACCCAGAAAACACCACAAATGGGCGCGGCATGGTTACGCAAAGTAGGATGGAAGGCCCTTGGAAGCACTTTGGAAACATCGGAGTCAGGTCGCTACCAGATACCACTTGCCACGCTTGTTGCCTCGTCTGTGTCCGTCTCCCCATTCGCCAGCCACCGCTGTACCACTTGACTTGATGCTGTTACACAAATTCGATATGCGATACGCATATGTACCTTAGGTTGAAGTGTGAGTATGGAAACTACTAGTCTATAGGGGTCACAACTCCGATTGTGTGCTGCCTCGTGTCGCATGAGGTTGACGAGGATGATAATTGCCCGTCCGAGCAGCGAATACACTACAAAACTGCAATTTCAACAAACAAAAGACGCCATTCCCAAGTCGAGGCTTCTGGTCGCCCTTGTTCCATTTGGCTGCGATAACCCTATCTCCGATGCCCCGGTCTTACGTCTCCATCCCCTCGCCATCCCCCAAACGGCTCCACTGTATGGTGCCTCAGCCTCGACTTGGCTCGTCTTGACACCTCCATAACGGACTTCAACATCAGCCCGATACACCCCATCCATCCATCGGCACGAGGCCGATATAATATCAAGATGGTGCGATTCTCGGTTATGTTTCCGTGCTATTGACCTGGTTGCCGACAAAGATGATTCAACTAGTGTAAAGACGACTGTATTCGGATCGTGTTTAGTTACCGCTAAAAAGTCAAAAGTCGATGTTGTTCAGGGAACTCACCGTTGAGACGTATTGAGTGACCAATGGTAAAAGCGAATGGTGGCTCGTGTGCGACGATCAATTTTCACGAGCTAGATTGAGAAGCAGACACTGCGCTGACTAGTGTAGTACTGCATACATAACCCTGATGAACTCGTGCCCGAAGTGGCCGAAACCTCAGGGTTTTACCCAGTGCGTCTCTGTCGCGGGAACGATGATCGCTCCATGGCTTCGACTAGGGAAAAGCCAACATTCTTGCACCGCATGCCAACATTTGAAACCTCATGATACCTCTGACCTTCAATCTTTTTTGGCGCTAGGCCAGGCGGTCGCCAAAACCCTTTTCTCCACAGCGCACATCCCTCCCTTGAAGTTCCGTCATTCCATGGGCCACATGGACCAAACATCAGACGAGAGTTGGTTTCGTCACGCTTTGCTGCTCTTCTCCTCCTCCTCCTCCAACAAGGGACCGAACTCCACGGCCATGGGTCGATAACACGAATCATGTCCTCGGCTGACGGCTCATGTCGTCGTCGCTTTTCGCAAGGCTTATCATGGCATTGAATCCATGCGGTGCGACTTGGCACAAACCCTGTTGCTTGGGGGTTTTACGCGCGCGGCGGCAATGTGGAAAGAGCGGAAGCTGGCACCACACTCATCTCACTCACACATTCTGTCAAATCATTTGGTCAGATATCGGATACCGGCTATTCAGCCCAGCCTTGCCCAGCCAGACGAAACCTGACAAGCCTCAACAAAGCGGCCGGTTCTCACCGAGAGTTTGGAGCCTGCTGCTTGAACTGAAGTCTCTCCATTTTTGTATGCCTTGTCCTTGTCGTTGTTGTTGTTATTGTTGACCCTCCACTATAAGATAGACGCTGTACAATATTCGTACCGTACGGCAGGTCGGGGGATAGAATAAAGTTTGCTACCCTGTGGTAACCGCGCGCTCCCGCCGGCGTCGGTACTTGGCCAGCTTGGCTCCCTTTTTTTCCCAAATCTGGCCTCCAATAGAAGTCGAATATCTTACGGACACGGCACCGCAGCCGGCACGGCGGTCCTTGGTCTTCGGGCAGCCTTGTATGAAAGAGGCAATCAACCCATCCGTAGCCTTTTTCTGCATTCCCACTCCACTGAGCCGTCGGCCGTCAGCCGAGAGGTATGTAGTGTAGTGTGTACATCGCCAAAGTTGTGTTTGTGCCCTCTTTAGTGCTATATTGTGTACATTTCTAATCACATAGTCACAGCCTTGGTGAAACTCACATGAACTAGAGGTGACTGCATAGTCACATTTTGCCTGCTTTCAGCACCTATCACTAAAAACATAGAGCAATTCCATGGTGGACTTGACAACGTTGCAATTACACAAGCTGAGAATGGTATCAATTCCACATTGGGAACGGAGAATACAACAAAAACGAGACAAGTCCTTCACTCCATTTTGGTATGTATCTCTACGCTAGCAAAGTTTAGCAGCTTTTGGTAAAGGGGTAGCATAGCCGGATGTAACCGACCACCGATCGCCAACATGGTTGAAGGCTAGGAAAGAAACGAGCGTCCAGAGGAAAATTTTCATCCTAGGCTAGCGAAAGTCAAAGCAAACAATACCAAGAAGAGAAAAAGCAACAAAGGAAAAAAATTCTCCGATCACAGTCATCACTCCTGATGCGAGCCGCGGCGGCGGGTTTCGCGATTTCGCCTAAATAGCAGGCCAAGGCATGGCGCTATACGATATGTAGCAGCGCTACAAAGGTTACCCTTCTAGAAAAACGGTTCAGCTGCGCCAAGCGCTCACGAGACTGGCTATCTTCCGCTGGACGGAGCTGAAGCCTCGCTACGTCCGAGAAGACTAGAAGAAAATCAAGCCACATTCTGTCAAGGAAATCGTCAACACCAACAGAGTTTTTTTTCTTGTTTTCTCCGTTGTTGGCGCTTATAGCCGAAGAAAACTTTTTCATATGCCTAGCTCAGATTTGTCTTTGTGCATGATACGATGTTGGCAAAGACTGAGAAATTAGGAGGAGGCGAATTTTACGTCTTACATTAACGTCAAAGAAAAAAACAAAAATAAGGCCGGACTCACGAAGCCCGACCGCTGTCCGGCCTGCCGGTGTAAGCGCCGCCATCTACCACAGTATACACTACGTACGGGCGGATTAACAAGACAAGTTTGTGCTACGATTACGCACACATATTTAATCGAGATGAATGGAAGAGAAACAAAATGGTTGGGAGACTTCGGACTACACTAGAATGTCTGGATGTCGTGTAACGTCAATGCCAATGGGACAGGATCAGGGCTGGATCATCATCGTGGTGAGATACGGTAGGTGATGAAAGAGATAAAATCTGTTTCTGCAGTTCTAGGTCCAGGATCCAGGATCCAGTGAGCATGACTCTCTCTGTATCAGTATGACCTCGCCTTTACGGTCGCCTTGCGAGATTCATTTCATTCATAGGTTGTCTCTGCCCAGGCTCATCTGCTTGTTAATGGTCATGTTTAGCGATCAAGAAACTTGCTTAACTGTTATCATTTCGCCTACGCCACCTAGGTATACACTAACAACCGGACACTTAACACAGCCTACACCTTATGCTGTAACACTTTTTTTCGCCTTTTCCACCCACTCGACACTTTTTACTACAGTATATAACCAACTACTATAGAATCAATTAATGTAACAACAACACATTACATATAATGCGAGGCAAGGCAAAAAGAATCCTTCGAACCGATGTCGAAACTGCCTTGCTTTTTTTCCAATTTTTCCAAATCGTACAACATAGGTACCCAGAGAAAAAGCAACCAATTACCATGGATGCCACGCCATCAACGGCAACCGACAGTCTTCTAGAACTTCCACCAGGGCGGCATCTTACGTTTTCCCTCCTTCCCGTGTTGCCGTCGTGTCATCATCGGATACATCCATCCACCCATCCATCCAACACCCAGGAGAAAAGGAGGGAGGGGGGAGGCGGGCAAAAGTTAGAGAGAGAGAGAGGGGGGGTTACACAGCGGGAGATCCGCAACAACGCTTGAAGCAAAAAAGAAGAAGCATTTGTCACTCGTTGCACGAACGTAGACGGTGCACACACACACACACACACACATATTGCACATTCAAGCGAGCAACAATCACCAGTCATTCACGTGGGACAACAAAATGCACACAGCACACAGCAGCACACCCTGGTGTCACGCCCCCCCATCTAGGTAGTGTAGGGTTGTTGTGGTTACTTGTCTCTGTCTGTCTGCAGTGTAAGTTGTGTTACTGCATGTATCACTGTGATACCACTCCTGAGGGGGACAGTGTGTCGCCGCAGCGGTGCAGGCATATACATACATACATCATAGCACTGCAGTAAGGTTTGTTGAGGTGACCGGTAGATACACATAGGTAAGAATCGTACGAGATGGAAGCAATATGGAAGTGTTGAACGGGTGATTTTTTTTTGGTTTTTTGTTCAATTTCTTCTTTGTCCGAGTCAGCCTCAACATAGTAGGTCTGCATAGGTCACAACCAACACGGTTGGTAGTAAGAGGTGTGTTCCGGTTCTATCCGTCCACGACCCCTCCTCCACCTGGAATTATTTGCATTTATCACCGTGCTCATCGGCATGATCCATTGCATCAATACACCGAGCTCGACGCAACGGAAGAATGTAAGAAAGACAAATGTGCCCTGGGCTGACTGCCTGCTGCCAAGTGCATATTCAAATCGAAGTCAATGATGCTCTGCCACGAGGCAGACACGCAATTTGTTCATGGACCAGCGAGATGAATGAGATCTGGAATGCGTAGTAATGCCCTACCACGGAGGGGCACGCTACGCTACCCACCTGTTAATAACACGCTACAACAATGCCACGCCGTCCGAACTCCGAACCATGTTCAATGAAGTGTTGGAAGGATGGATGTCAGGATGCCCGCTTATGTTATCAGAGCTCAATAGGTATGCATGAAAATGGAAATACATGCGGGGAAATATTTCCCGGACCATCGTTAGACGGAAGAATACTAAGAAAGAGGTCCAGTGACTGTTCCGACTGTCCAACTTATCAATCATCATCAATTCTTCTAGATTCTAGACTCCGAGATCGGACGACGACGCCTTGTTCCATGTTTGACGGACTGCCTGCGTGCGGCAAGGCGCTTGTTACCTCTACTTTGTCGCACTTACCTCAAGGAGCAAGCGAGTTGAGCGACGGTAAAAATGGCCGGAGGTACTGTACATGATACTATGCTCGCCCCATGTCGCTACCTGGCGGCGGTTCGGGGATGAAGTGAGAAACTCTTGCCCGAATACAACCTAGGGTACGTGCCTCTAAGTATGTTGCTTACTTCAGCGTCACAGAATTGTTGTGCTGTTGGGATTTGAGGCTCAAAAGACGGCAGCTGAAGTGTGAAGGTGACTGCGTCTGCCACGGCATCTTTGCCAATGATCAGCGTTTGTTTTTGCTGTCATTACTTAGTCTTCCCCATCTTATTTGAACATGAGATGATGGATCACGGAAGTTCCCACAAATTAAACATCGGATGACATATGATTGCACTCGGACTTGGCATCCATCACACATCAACGCATGGATGGCATCAATGCATGGAAGGCCTTGTCGCTCTTCTTGTCGCCTTCCATCCCATCTTTCCCGCATTGATTGTTCCCTATTTCGTCACTCGATTTCGTTTCCTTGCGGAACGCATTTGGTGATGTGGCAGTGTCGGTGATAAACAAGAGGAGGCGAGGCGAGGCGGGGGAGATCTACTCGCTGTGCAGCTGCTACTGTTTGTCGAAGAATTCCCAATTTCCTCGGATTCCGGGATTCTAGCAGGTTTCTCGAATCTTTCCTCGTTGGGTTTAGACCTGGCGGAGGAGGCTTGTCGATCTTGTGGCATGGCACCCCGCAGTTTGTGATGACCCCAGTTGTTTGTTTGTTTTCGTCACTTTGTCCAGTGTACAGGTGAGGTGACGTCCGGAGCGTGACGGTGAGTGACCAGCAACAGGACATCGACATCGGGTCCTTCACCCGCCCAGGACACCGGAGCTCAGGGAAGCTGAACCTCCTGACCTCCAACCCTTCTTCCTGTCACGCCACTAGTCACGATGAATCGCGACCACAGCGATCAATTAAAAATATGCCGTGAGTCCAAATCCATCAGAAATCTATCATAAGCATGAATGAACAAACACCCATGTGATGACTGTGCGCTAGAAACGGAACTTGCCTACCAGGGGCAGTCAACAAGTGACAATATCTCCAGAACCTCTTAACTCCATTCCCCACTGCTAGATGGATAAATTGATATTGGAATGGATCATGGAGTTCTCCCTTGAACAAAGAGCGATCGCAAGAGATGTCGGCCGCCGGAACAGAAACAAGCAACAAGCCACGCTGCACGCCGAGAGTGAGAGACTGACAGAATTCCGTCTCCGTCCCGTGGAAGACTGTTGGTTCCCGTCTGTCACGGGCCGTCATCTTGTCTTTCTGGGATGGCCGTCCATCGTTGTCGTCGTCGTCGTCTGATTCCCGTTTGTCTCATACAGCTGCAACTGTGAGGCATCAGGCAAGCCGCCTCTTTCCGCTGTCATCGGATGCGGTCTCTTCTATGTTATCGACTTGGCGATCACATTCACATCAGGTTATCAGCGGAGCCGCCCGACGACCCCTTTGGTGTTCGGGATGCCTGTCAGACTTGTCGCTGCTCTACTGTAAATTCGTCATTGAATGAGGGTTTCTCTTTGAACCCGGCTATTCCCGTCTTTTAATTGCTCGTCTGTCCTGACTGTCAAAGCTCCCCGAAACCCATCATCAGATGGCCCCTCCAATTCAGCCAGCCTTGTGCCTTTGCGAAACCTTTCGCGACAGAACGGAAATTGCCGTGGAGACACCCGTTTGGTCCCCCTGATCATCCATTACCAAAGCGCAGGCGGGATGAGAGTCTGGAGACTGGAGGGAGGATGATGAACCTGAGTGGATCGGAGGCCCAGGGGTCAAGAGGTGTGGTGAAGATGTTCTACCCCGCGTGTAATATGACTGTGAACGGACTCCCGTCGGTATTAGGTATCCGGAAGACAAGATGAGACGTACCTCCCACTACCTAGTGGGCAAGTCGTCGCTCTTGGCGCTAAGTTATAAAGTTACTCCTGTTTTGTTGCTTCTATTATAATTTTACGAAAAGCTATTGTAACGAAATGCTGATTGAACTAGTAAACGCAGTGCGCCCAGAAGCCGGCTTTTTGGAGTGAAAGGCTTTATATTGGGTTGTAGTGAAGTTAATACAGCGGTCGGAAGAAGAATTACTAAGGTAATTAGGACTTAGGGTTTTGCTTGGGCGTGTGGAGTTCCGTTGGTAGGCTCAAAAGGTACGTCTCATCTTGTCTTCCGGATACGCACTCCCCTCCCGTCGGACTTATTGTTGCGCAGTACCCTGCGCTCGCTTGACTGTTGTACACTAGTGTTGTACCTGTAGGGAAGTTCCGTGTCTGGAAGTCATTATTTCTCGTCTTTTGTTCGGTTTCATCCAGATCCACGATTTGGTGGCTTTAGACTCGTGACCCGGTTAGAGTGGTCGTTGTCGGTCGATCAACCATCAGAGCCGTTGAAAACAATGCGATGGATGTGCCGGATATGGATTTTTAAATTTTTTTACTTCTTTTTTTCTTTTCTTATTTTGGTGATGCTTAGAAAGGTGAATGCTACCCAGTCCGCGTCGACGTCACCAGATGTGTTGTTACATATTGTTCGTGTAAGGGTGCATTAGCACCTGCTTCTACACCACCTACGCTTCTAAGCTGACGTGCAGCTCCCCGAAATGTTCCCCTCACCACGGAAGCCTCAATCCACTAGCAACGTCGTGTCAACGTCATGTCATGAATCCTACCGAACTGTACCTCTACTCAAGGTCTGCGCAATGTGAACTTGGAGTCGTCATCGCCGGAAATGTCAATCACTACGAGAGACAACACCAACGTGGCCTTCTATCATGCCTTGGGTCGATGTGGCTGAACAAAACCCCTGGCTGTCGTCTGATGATGAGGGGACTCCAGTACTTTGTGTTTCTTCAGGGCCAGTGCTCGTGGATACGGCGCCCACGATCAAGGAAGAGCATCGTGGTGTTGTCGTCTTAGAAATCCCCTCTTCTTCTTCTTCTTCTCCTTCCCCATCTCTTAAAGGGGAGGACAACGAGGGTCAAGATGATATTCCCGAGTTGCCCGTTACAGGCCCTTTACCAGCTCCCATCGCCGGGCCTGACGGCCGGAGTACTTCATCACATCCATCTCCGTCAAATTCCCATATCAATACACCCAAACCCACAACTCCTATTGCTCCTTCGGTGGTGAATGGTGGTGAAGGTTCATACAAGGAAGAAGTTCATCATGGAAGTCCTTCCACTGCACACGCAGCTTTTCACAACAGTCCGGCTGCTGCTTCCGAAACCAAGAGACGCACGTCAAGCGAGAGTCTCTCACCTGCGCCAACAGAGGACGCTGATATTGACGACGATGAAGATGATGTAAGTCTCTTATGGCGACTTGCACTCTTCGACCGCATCGCCGCTAAGTTACCTGGTTACAGGCCGAACTCAAGGGCCCTGTCCGCGACCCACCTTGCTTCCTATGTGTCACCAAGGTGACTTTGCGTGGTAAGGGTGACAGTGTATGTCATCACCCTGCTAACATCAGACATGGACGGTGGGCATGCGTCGGTTGTCGCAAGTATGGGAAACGTTGCGAGTCTTCTCCTGATTTGGTCGTCCAAGCTTGGAAGGCTTGGAAGGCAGAGCCTAGGGCAACGGTTGCGGCTGAGAGGGCGTTGAAAGCTTTGAGAACCATATGCGCCGCATGTCGCAATCTTCGACAGCTTGTCAAAATGGGAATGATACCCTCGTAAGCTCGCCGGCCACAAATGTGGCGCATCCCTTCCCAGTTGCTCTCATCCGGATCTGTTTAGTACAGGCGATTGACATAGCCTATTTATACAAGCGCTACAGTGGAAACACTCCTATCTGGAGGCGATCTCTACCCCGAAATTGACGAAGGCAGTTCCCTGCCTGGAGTACCATCGCGAGCTGAGTTTACAGCTCTGAAGCGACGAGTGAAGTCCGTGGAGGCAAGCCTGCAGCGCCAAAACATTCTTCGCCGACATCCAGAGCCAAGAAAGAGAAGAGCCGGACGCGGCAATTCTGATCAAGTTAAGAAGGACGACAAGGGTTCAGAATTGCCCGACTCCGAAGATGAGGAGAGCTATGATGAAGGAGAGACTGAAGACAAATGGTTACCGTAGCCGGTCATTCTGATGAATCTGCAGCTGCTTCATCTTAGCACACTTCATCACGGTAGCATTTTCTCTTCATCACGTCCCTTTCCCATGCTATTTCCGCAAAAACTCTGTAAACAACGGTAAACATTCCACCTTCGTCTTAGCACGAAAAAGGTGACTTTGGCGTCTTTCATTAGGGGATCGTCTCGTCGACTGCTACGCTATATCCACCAGACTATAACTTTAGCCTCAACTGCAAAATTCCTCCAACTCCACGCCTGGTCATACCATGACCAGCTTAAAAAGTCTCCTTTGGGCTAAGTTTGCCGAAGATGCTCCATCGTCAAGTCGACGAGATGAAGAAAGGCAAGGATGTCGAATGCAACCCTTCTGGTGCCCCAGATGTTGACCGGACCCCACGGTCAAATTACGGAGACGTCATTGCCGTCCGGACCAATTTTGATAAAGGACGAAAAAGAACCCCCACCAAGCCCCCAACTTCAAACCCCGAAGACCATCGGGGAACATGATGTTAGGGCACAGACGGCACGCAGGGAAAAGCATCACCATACACCAGTGCAAACCCCTGCAACTGCATACTTCAAAAATTGCATATATCATATAGTTCACCAGAGTATGGCCTCTAGGTGCATGCCCAGGCGGGGTCACCAACCCCTGTTTCTCACCAAGTTTTGGCTCTCTTCTTGCATATATCTCATTCATCTCTTAACCTTTGGGTGTTCCCCATAGTGCTTGGTATTACATGCAGTTTCTGGGGATTACACTGTAGGAGGATGTCCCTGTCACTGCCACTGTCAGGGTTTCCAGGGTAGAAATAAGAAAAATAAGAAACGGACGGTTTAGAGGTAACGTTAACATAACCAGGTCTATCGAAGCTACCCAACCTGCCAGCTACCCTAGCTGGGTCAGGGGAGGGGAGGACCGCGCCCCCCCAAGGGCAGCACACATTTTGTGATTTGAAGGCATTCACACACTCCGCAGATACTTTGTGCTAGGGACTGGTAAAGAAGAAGCCCCCACGGTCCCACACACACTCTCTCTCTCCCTTGGTATCACTAGGTGGCGTACCCTAGACTTACACTAGCAAAATCATGCAATGACATTTCCAAACTTGGCCAAATTTTCTCGGCTCAAGTGCGCCGAAACAGCCCTCTGATTTGCTCCACGACTTCTTCTCTCTGTCCCTGTCTCTTTTGTCTCTCTGTCTTGGCCCTTTTCTTTCCCCTTTCCCTTCCCTTTCCTTCCCTTCCACCCTACCCTTCTTTTTTTTTTTTTTTTTTTTTTTTTTTTTTTTTTTTTTTTTTTTGTACTGTGTAGTGTATGTAAGTATGCCAAAAAACCACGACTCTGCTGATGTAGTGTAGTAGTGTAAAGCTCTCTTCACTCTCCACTACACCAGCCTCTCTCCTCTTGCTCTTCCCTTCGCCAACGTCCGAGTCCCTTGATGCCCCCTCCCTTCCCGAGATGAGTGGAGGTTGAATGAGCATCATCACGATGAAGCAGCAAGCACCCTTGAGACCGTACAACGAGGGAACGACGACGTGGAGCGAGACGAGACGAGCCGATCCTTTAACGAGGTAGTGTAGCGAGCGAGTGAGTGAGCAAAACTGACTGACTGACTGACCGACTGACGGACGGGGAAATATCTCTCGGTAAAACAAAAAAAAACGTGGAGACCCCAAAGTACAAAAAAAGGGAAGGGCTCAACCGATATTGAAATTTGAAAGTGTGGTGGTCGATGCGTGTGTTAGCGCAGTGGTGCAGATCAGTGAATCATAAATCCGAACGTGTATTTCCGTAGTACGCGAGCGATAGCGATTCACTAGACCCAAGGACGACTTATCGAAGACCCTCCCGGTGGGACTGACTGGCTACACTAACTGGTAGCCTTGGGCTAATGTATTTTGGAGTGGAAGCTAGTGTAGTGTAGCTCAGCTTACCTCGGTTGTTGCCTGCTTTGGTTAGATTCAATCAGTTCAGTCTGTCATCTTGCCATGCTGTCGATTCCAGGGTTGAATCCAATCGAGCACTCAGTTCAAGTGTCAATTTCGAAGGGCGGACAAACGGCGTAATCGAGAATCACCTCTACCTGCCACATGATTAAGAAACAAGAAGTAAGAAGTGCAAGCTTGAAGAATGGTGATGGCTACATACACGTGCACACGGATGAAGATGGCGTTGAAAGCCGTTGAGGGTACATATGTAAAAGGCCGCCCAAGAAGTCAATGGTACAAGATTGATCCTTGTTCTGTCATACTGCATTCGAAACCGATCCATCCTAGCATTTTACGCCTATCTCGGCCGGTGTCATGATGCACTTTTCGCTGCCCGTTGAGTATCTTCCGAGCCTGGTTTCATGGGAAAGGGGGGAAGAAGGCTGATGGATCATACATTTCATTCAAAACGTAACGGCTGGGTCTCCTGATCGATAGAGGTACGTAGCAACCCGCATTTTGTCGTCTAGGTTAGTGTACAATATTGTCCAGGAACAGGGCATTTGATGCGTAAGGAGGCGAGACATAGGCAGAAACAATGTTCGAAATTTCCTAGTCCACTTTCCCCACGGGGGACTTCCCGTCTCTGACAACACTGAAGACAAACCCCTTGACTCCCTGCTTTCCAGCAGTCCTTGGCAATCAGTCCGGACACCATTGAAGTAGGGTAATGGTGGTCTCATTATCGTATGTATTCCCGTTTGTTATTCCCGTTTATTGTGACCGACAGCAATCTCTAGACTCACCTAACGGTTTTTTTCTGCCTTTGATGAGTGGCATGCCTAGTGCCCACTGGGGACACTGGCTGAAATTGTCACTTGATAGCGTGTGTACACTGCTTCTCTTCCTCCACAATCCTCATTCCCTGCTTCCTTCCCGTCTCCCCCACGACCCACGTTCGTTCCTACTGTACCTTGAACTGCATCGTGGCGCTGCTGCTCGCTTCGAAGGCGGTGTTTGGCCAGCCGATTCTGGCCGATGCTACTCGGCCAGCGGTGGCAATGATGGGAATGAAATCATCAGTTGCCATGAATAGTAAAGCCGGATATGGATGGACTGGAATGATAGACGGGGAGTATCAAAGCACGGACAACGGCGGATGGAAACTCGGCGATGCCGTCGTCGTCCATCCGTCTGGTCGGTTCTACGCAGCACACCAGACTAGGTACTACGGATGCACGGAAGCAAGAAGATCAAGCAAACATCGCATCACCTTTTGCTCTCCTGTCGGTATCAAAAAAACAAATGAAAAAAAAAAGAAGGCCTTCTAGAACAAACGGCCGGACGTCGGGGAGAGCCGTGGCGCCAACGGTCTTCGTTCACACACAAGTCCCATGCACATGCCGGCGTGGCCCCTATCTTTTCTTCTCTTCCCTGGTTTGTCGTCTTGACTGCCGCGTTGTTTTCTTTTCTTTTCTTTTTCTTGCCTGATTCGCTTTCGGGATTGGCACTGCAATAGGTTAGCACGTCCAGGACTCAAAAAACGCCATCGCCGAGCGGGATAGTCCGTCGTTGGCGGGTTGGGCGGGCCCCAGCCTGCGGCGCATGCGGCGGAAGAGCCTCATCGTCTCGGGACAGTGACTCCAAAAATGTGTTTGCCCGTTCTAGCATTGGACCACTGCACCATGTGTGAGATTTGTGCCTGGATGGACTGTGTAGTGTAGTGTAGGACATCCGATCTCGGAAGTCGTAGGGGAACGAACTGCCATATTTGGCGCGCGGTAGATGGCAAGGCCCGGTGGATGGCAAGGCCAGGTAGTTTAGGGGTAGGGAGTGTTCGTGATGAACGTCCAATGATTGTTGGATAAAGTGGCCACGGGGTTGGTTATGCTGAGGGTGAGGTTGTTTACTTGTTTCAACGGCGAGTTTCATGTGTCTCCTTCCAAACACTACTCTGTCTCACACGGAACTGAAATCGGTATATTGTCTTTACCAGCGGTCAAAGTTGTCGGGCGTGCGTTGTTCGACGTTGCAGTTTGTCTTGTCTGTCTTGGTGATAGGTAGTGTTGCTAGTTGGTCTCTGTAGTGTAGTTAGCAGACGCAGGTTACCGCTTTCTCTTGCCGTGATTTTTTAATTGCCGGCATCACGACGTATGCCGGCTGTTGTGCAACGGGAGATCATTCTGCCTTAGAACCTGCGACTTCTGCAAGTGATCGGAAATCGACTTGAGATCTGAACTTGGACTCATCGTACAGGCCCCCAGTGACCAAGTATGTGATGTCTTCACAAACGACAAAGACTTCCGGCTGCAGAACTGGACGTCCCCTTAGCCGATGTTGAATCCATCAAGGTCCTCACTCCATCCAATTCCCTCATAACATGGCCTCCGTAGTAGTGTAGTAGTGGCACTGGTGGCAATGAGACGGCCTCCACCCTCCAGCCTACTTCGCTGTCGTTTTGATCTTGGAGGAGACCCTCTAGCCAACATTCTAGCGTTGACCTTAGCCAAGATTGAGCCCAACCAAGGTCCAAGATCCAGCATGGATAACACCTTCCCGGAGGAGATAGAAGTGACATGCAGGACCCTTCTCAACATGACAAAAAAAAACCGGGAAGGGCATGTCCAGCATCCGTTTCGTCCCGTCCCGTCTGACTCTGTTGCCAATTTTGACTCGCCTCCCCGTCCTTCATGTCCATTATCGGCGATATTATCCTTGGTTGAGATATTGTGTCGACGATGGAGATGCAGTGCAGTGTTGCACCGAAGGATTGCAAATTGAGATGGGAATTGTAGATAGCAGTGTATGTTACAGTAGGGATGCTGTGTACATACATGGGCGAAAATCTGCCATGTTCCCAGAATTCCATCCCTCACTGGCGAGAATGGATGGCGGGATCTTTTGGATTCCATTTGTTGCGCTTCCATGTAATGCTACTGCTACTGTACCATTGCTCTTGCTTCAGTGACAAATTATGACGGTTTGTTGACAGAAGCAGCTTCCTAAAAGGGGTTGTAGTTGAGTGCTGTTGCTTGAAAGACTTCTTGGCGGAGAAACGTCAAGTCGTGTCGTCGATGGAGAGAGACACAATTGCAAATCATCATGTTGATGTGAAATGATTATGCGAATAAGGGGGGGGGGGGGAAGAGAAGAAGGAGAATGTGAGCTGTATGCTCAAACCTGTCCGACATGTAACAGAATTACCGAGCTTGGGCAGAGTCGTGGTCTCTTCTTCTCTCCATGCCTGGAAGAACACAATGTGACAAGGGACCACAGTTACATTCTAGCAAGCATGTTGAAGAGAATCGCATGATAAATGGGACGAGAAAACAAGGAAATCTGTCGATCACCATCGAATCTTGCCGCGCATTATCGTATCTTCTATCCGCCACCCGTTGACCGTTGACAGTGTCGTTACCTAACCCAGATGACTTTAGCTCCATAGCAGAGCCTATGTTTTCGTGAGGTCTAGATTGAATATGTGAAAGGAAGCCGTTATTGATGCTCGGTCTTGTTTCTTGTTTTCACATTCTCCAAGTTTCGAACTACAAGAGCTGTTACTTCGCGGGCAACACGAGTTTGAGCACTTCGAGGCGATGCCGCCTGCGATGTAACAGGCGATCTAACTAACTCGTAGACGTTTGGCCCAACCGTGAACTATTATAATGTTCTTGACGTTAAGATAGTATTGGTCGAGCCCAATCAGTTAATAGTGTCTAGACAGCTTGGCATATAATTATTCTAGATATATCAGTCGCAAGGTCTGATACGAGAGTCCTCTCCGATGACAGTTGGTAGATGTCAAGGGCTGGACCTCAAACACTTCAATATATATAGAACGAGACAAGGTATCATCATGGGATTGCCCCCGGCCGACGCAACATATAGGGATCGCAACTCAGTGATTTGTCTGTGAGGGACAGTGCCGTAGAGCAGCCAGGGTCAATGGTACGACACTGAGCTTCAAGAACATGAAAGTCAATGACCGGGGCGTAATAGAAGCACGGATATAGCGGAATGTGAGTGAGGTTGTAGTCGGTCACGTCGCAACGAGTTGAGGGAGATTGTAACCACCGCACGTCAATGACCGAACTCAACTGCCGCAATTAATTTCCGGTGAAGGTGGCATTTTCCGATCGCTCACCGGCATTGTCAAAGTGCTGAAAACATACGATTCACGTCAAGTCGCCTGTTCTCCAGAACCGAGAGATGAGGATGTGACATAGTAGCTTTCCCGGTCGATATTGAATCGCCGGCATCTAACGGGATTGTCGGACTCGGACACGGCAACAAAAATAGCATCCCACCCCCGAGCCACAAGTGCCGGACGGGACCGGTCTTCAGGGACATTGCACATCTCGAGCGGAAGTCCATCGGGCACTCGTAACCATTGTCACAACACTTGAACAGCTTCAAGAGTAAGAATGAACAGTTTCGTCGCTCGATAATTGCAAAGAGGAAGTACAATAAAAACAAGTCCCGAGTAAAAAGAAATAGGAAAAAAAAAAAAAAAAAAAAAAAAGAGAAAAAGAGTGTGTACAGAGTACACTGAGACAAACCCCATAGCCCAGCGGGAAACGCGACCCCTATTCTTCCCCCCAATGCCCTCACGATCCCACTATCCCCTCCAGCTTCGCCACTGCTCGGTAGCTCCATCTGACGAGGGTCGAAGAATATCGCGTTTCCCAAAGTGAGATCTTTCTGCGAGTCATCGATGGTCGTCCATCGATGGTTTATTTCTTGTGCCTTTTGGAGGGCGCAAGTGACTATGCCACAAACAATTCGTCTGTAGCATCTATGCAACAAACACTTGGTCTGTAGCAAATTCTTTCTTGTTTTGTCTTTTGCAGCGGAGTGTTGCTTTTCGTCTTTGGCTCTGGTGGCGCTGACTTTGAAGCTCAACAGCATCGCGCTTTTGTCTTGGTTTGGCTTTTTGTTGCCCAGTAGTCTTTTGTAGCGGAATGAGCTACGCTTCAGTTCAGTTTTGTCTGAAAATCTTTGCCTGCGTTCGTTTCGAACCGGCGAACTCTTGAGTTTGCATGGGCACAGCAGTACATGAGACCACTGCGCCATTCTGCCATGCGGCAGCTGATTCTAGGCACGGGGTTTGTCTCTTGGTGGTGGCAGGAGGGGCTGGAAGATCTCCTTATGTACTGCAGGTGAAGGGGACTTGCGCGGGAAGGTACATGGGAAGGAGGGCGGCAGTGCTGCAGCTTGCGGGCAGATAAGATCCCATGTGTGGCATAAGATAGGAGGGAAGGGAAGGCACGGCCGCCAACTGGAGGCTGGACGAAAGACCACGGATGAGGGGACTACACGGTAGCAGAGAGGGAACTAATTGACGAGTTGATGAAGGCTGTCGCTGCGTTTCAGAGACTCTGTTCGCGAAGGCCAGTTGGTGTTTTCATGAGTGAAGGAGAGACGAAACATCTGCATGAAAACTTTACAGCATTGATCGTGATGATGATGATGACTCGCAATTGTCGTCTCCATACACGGTCTCCTGATCTGGTAGTCTCTTGATCTGGTAGACATTCGGACAACTACAGTCCATCGATGGTCTGGTTTGCCTGCAAGAAGAATAGAAAACTTACAACAGTGTGATATACGGCAATATTCTCCTCCTCCTTGAATGACATTGAGGGAAACCTGTCAATGTCACGACTCAACGTAAATAGGACACTAGATCGAGGTTCATCGGGTGAGGATACCTCTAGGTATGGCCCCCTAACCAGACAGCAAGGAAGTCTTGCTTTATCGCTTCACCTCCAACACTCCTCGATCCTTGGTAGGTGCGATACAGTTAGCGTTTCTTTCCTGATTGAAGTCAAAGGCCTCGTTTGTCTCAACTCCTGGATTCGCCTTCGTTTCCTGAGTGTCTTTCAGTTCCCGGCCTGTCGGTGTTTGGCCACCAGTAGTTGCAGCTTTCCATGTATTTTCGTATTCCACTCGTATTATATTCATCATTCTATCACTTTCTTGTTGCATCTTTTTGCATGATCCTTCCTTCTCTTTTCACTTGTCTTTGACTTACGGCCTGGAATCTGGTCGAGTGAACGAGAAAAGGAGAGGAGAGGAGAGACCAAAAGAGTACCGCCGTTCTGCCCAGTCCTGATGTGACGGTGTTCCCGGCAGAATTAAATGGAAAGAATAGAGAGTTTTAAGTTTCTGCAGCTGGGATAGATTTTACAGTAACTGGAGGGTGCTCTGCGCGGTTATGATCGAGTGTCTTTAGAGATGGTCCTGTTCGTGGATGCTTAGTATCATGGGAGCTTCTTCCACCATTCAAGACAAATGCTACTTCATGAAGAAAGAAAAGCGAACTTGAACATTCCTGGACATGGTCTCTCATTCTAGGATGCATTTAGTCCTTATAACCAACACAACACTTTCATCTCCTATGTTATGTAGTTCATTATGAAGACCTTTCACCGTCCAACGCCCAACTTGAACAATTTGTTTGCGGATTATAACAATTCTTTGGACACTCAAGAGCTCTTTACCTCCTCCCACCCCTCCTCTCCTCTCTCCTCTCTTCCTCCCTCCTCTGCCTCTTCCTACTTTCCTGCGCAATCATGTCGCTCAAATCATCATCATAGCTACTCGCCCACTGGGCACCCGGACCCTCCTCTTTTCTTCCAGCTTCATACCTCTTCCTCAACTCCTCCTTACTCAACCCGGCCTGCGCCGCCAACAGATCCGGATCGAGCGCCACCTCCACATCACCAGGCTTCTTCCTCTTGCGACTATCGTCATCGTCTCTTCCGAGTACAGGTACGGAAGGTCCAGGCCCAGCACCCGGCCTGCCAGACGCCAAATCGTACGTCTTGTCGGAACCAAAGAAACCCTCGGCGCGCGTCTGCCTTTCGGGAATAACCTGGTATGCCGATCTGGGCGCGGCCGACTCCTCCGTCTCGTAGCCGCGCCGCGTCTTGCGCAGGTCGAATTCGCCCGCCATGCTGGTCTCGACAGGCGCCTCGCCGGGATGCATGCTGCTGGCGTAGCCGGAGGGGTGTCCGGCGTCGAATTGGCTGATGGAGGTCTCAGTGCCGCCGGGCGGAATGTCGTGGTCCTCTTCCTCTTCATCCTCATCCTCTTCCTCGTCGGACTCTTCTTCTTCTGATTCTTCGGCGGGAGGCTGGAGCTCACCCCATAGTGTGCGCTCGACAGGCTCGCCACCGAAACCAGTGGCCGCGGGTCCTTGTGACTGGGGTTGTTGGAAGGGAGCGGCGGCGCCTCGTTGACCGGGGGCCATGATGCCGAAAATGTCACCGCCGTAGAGGGGACGGTTGTACTCGTCTAGAGGGGGCTTGCCCCATTGACCGGGTTGGAAGCCCCATTCGGCACCCGGTGGTAGCGGGGCGTTGAGGCCAGGGATCTTGAGGGTGGGATAGGATGGAGGAGGACCGACACGCTGTTGCTGGAGAAGCCATGGAGGAGGGAAGCCGGGCTGCATGCCTAGCGCTTCCCTTAACGCATCGCTAATCTCGCCGGCGCGGAATACCTTATAATCTGCCTCCCACTCCTTGCCCTCGTAATAGACGTCGCCAAACCTGGTAAGGTCTGGTTTTGTTTGGTGGCGGAAGAAGGCGTCGTAGAGCTTTTGGTAGTCGATGTCGAGTTTTCCCATCTTTGGTTGCACACGCTCGCGCTGTTTCTGCTTGAGAGTCTGCTCTGCTTGCTTCTCGAGCACGGCATCGCGCATCTCTGTAATGCCGGTCTCGGCGATGAACTTTGGAAGCTTGAAGGGCGGCTTCTCGATACCACGTTTGCTCGAAAGATATTCTCGCTTGAGGGACCAATGGCTGGGTACGGGGACGATGTTCCTCTGAGCTTTGATCTGGACAAGCAAGCGGGGATCGGATGATGAGACGTCTTGCCACTCAACCACCTCTGGATTCTTGACCAACGCCTTCAGCTCCGCAATAGAGAGCTTGTTCAGCTTCTTGCGCTTCTTCTTGGATAGTTTGCCTGCATCCTCCTCCTCGCTGGGAATTTCATCGTCTTGGTCGAAGAAAACTTCTCCCTTGTTGCCCGCATTTGCTTCCCTCGCCACATCGTCCTCATCCAGGCTCATACCAAACTTCTCGAAGATGTTCTTGTAGGCTGCGAAAGCGGGGTCCTCATCGAAAGCAGAAAGCTCGACACCGACTTGATCATCGACGGGGCCATCGACCTCGATCTTCTGGGGTGAATCTTCCTTCTTGACTTCAGAATCTGATGGTGTAGTTTCGTTCTTCACGGTTGCGTCTTCCTTGGCGTCTATTGTCACCTCGCCGTTCGTGGTCTCGGTTTCGGGAGCCTTGGTGCCATTCTGTATCACGTTAGCAAATGGGAATGATGGGTCACAGGTTCCAAGACGTACCTCAGTCTGGGCTTTCTTCTGTTCCTTCTTCTTAGCCCGGCGCATTTGGTTCTTGGTCATCTTGGTGGCCGCCATCTTGACCAGCGATTGAGAGCTAGATGCTCCCGTGTGTGTCTGAGTGATTGTGATGATTTGCTGATGAACCCAAAACTCAGATTAAGGCCGTCAATGTACAAATGGCTGTTGTTGGGTTTCTCTTCGAGTGGGCAAATGATAGTGACGAGGATGTGGTGATACTAGGTAGCAGCAAAGTGGTGGACCAGCCTCGAAGTCCACTCTGCTGCAAGGCGTCGCGAAGTGGAATGCGCGTGCTCCAAAAGTTTCGAGCTCCAAGCACTGTGAACCAAACGGTACGTACCTATGGCGATTTGCCTGCCGATTTAGTTGCTGATTGCGGCGCTACAGCACTATCCAGGCAGCTTGGAACAGTGTGGCTGGTGGTGACCTTGAGACGGAGTCCTCTCTTTCGAGGCTGAACAGTCGCCAGATGTGGCGTAGCAAGTGCTGCCGTTGGTCGACCCCTGACTGCTCCCCTGACATTAGAGGTAGCGGTTCGTAGGGGTTGTCCTTGCCCGTGGAAGCATTCCAGAGCGGGATTGGAGCGCCAAGAACGAGGACGACTGCACCTTATTCTTATCTGTGAGCGCCTGGATCGCATCTGACCAAGGGGAGGGAAATGTTACAGAAAGTACTTTGAAGTTTTGGTCTGGAACTTTGAAGTTGGTTGTATAACGCCATCTGCCATAATCTTAATACCTCTACACGAGTTACACCAGATTCTCTGTACATCATAGCTGCGCATAACTCACTCTACTCGTACACCATTTGTTAATTCCACCAAGTTCTCGAGACCGACCAAAGCGGCCATGATCAGCGTCATCCTGTGATAGACTCCAGCAGCGCGAAACATCCAGGTCAGGAACGGAATTCGACTCCCCGCCGACGGCTTTCACCATCGAAATCCCCCCTTCGAGAATTCTCCCTCCTTCTCTGTCTCTCCAGGCATTGCCAACGCACAATTGGACGATTGCTATGGCGCAATATACAGCATCGACCGGCTCGTCCTTGAGAGCCTCGCCAAACCTCCGACAACACCATGCCGACACCAGCGCGGCCCCAGACACCACCGAAAAGTTCCCCGATTTCGATACTTCTCAAACAACAAACGGCTATCCTAGCGGCAACGGCCGGTCTATAAATACCGGTTCTAATGCGCCCTCGGATCAATGGCGACCGAGAAGGGAAAGCAAAGTGACATGGGCTCCTAGAGACTCCCCAGGGCCCGTAAACGCCTACTCCCATGGCCGTGGTCATTCTAGGCAAACGAGCATTAGCAATGCGATACATCGGATGCGCTCGGGGAGTATGAGCCAGAATGCTCATGAGATTGCGGAAGCACTTCGTGCGCCTGTATCCTACAAGCTAATAGTATGAACATTTGCCCCAATGGCCATTCCTCTGTGCAAAGCTAACCTCATCTCCTCTTCTCTATAGGGGCTCTGTATGATGTGGTACTGGTCCTCGGCGCTGACCAACACCTCTTCCAAATCGATCCTCACGACTTTTGACAAACCCGCGACCCTCACGCTGATCCAATTCGCCTTCGTTTGTTCCTACTGCCTCCTAGCCTCCTGGTTAGCTTCGACGTTTCCCAAGCTGCGCACCGCCGTGCCCGCACTCAAACACCCGATTCGCAAGCCCTCGCGCGATGTCATTGTCACTACGCTTCCTCTGGCGGCCTTCCAGATCTTCGGCCACCTCCTCTCCTCGTCCGCGACCTCCAAGATCCCCGTCTCGCTCGTCCATACCATCAAGGGTCTATCCCCATTATTCACCGTGCTCGCCTACCGCTTGATATTCGACATTCGCTACCCGCGCGCAACATACTACTCCCTCGTGCCCCTGACAATCGGCGTCATGCTTGCCTGTTCCGGCAAACACTCGTTCGGCGAGGGCCAGTTCCTCGGTATCCTCTACGCCCTAATAGCCACCATCATCTTCGTCACCCAGAACATCTTCTCTAAGCGGCTCTTCAACGAAGCCGCGCGCGCCGAGCAAGAAGACGGGCACAGTAACGGTCACCGGTCCAAGAAGCTCGACAAGCTCAACCTTCTCTGTTACTCGTCGGGCATGGCCTTCATCCTTACCGGTCCCATCTGGCTGTGGTCTGAAGGCTTCTCCATAATCGGCGACTTCCTCTGGGACGGCTCGGTCGACCTGAGCGAGACGCCCAACTCGTTCGACCACGGCCGTCTGACCCTGGAATTCATCTTCAACGGCACCTTCCATTTCGGCCAAAACATTCTCGCCTTTGTGCTGTTGAGCATGGTAAGCCCCGTCACTTACAGCGTCGCCTCCCTGCTCAAGCGCGTCTTCGTCATCATCATCGCCATCATCTGGTTCCGCTCGCCGACGACCAACGTCCAAGCCGTCGGCATCGCCCTCACCTTTTTGGGTTTGTATTTGTACGACCGTAGCCAGGAGAAGAACAAAGCCGACCAGCGCGCGCGCTCGCTCTCTCGCTCCAAGATGCATGAGTCGATCCTACCGCTTAACACCAAGCAAACCACCGAAACTTCTTCCCAGTATCAACCCTCAAGCCTGAATACCCAAATAGGCGGGTACGGATATATGCCCTCCATCCAGCCCACCACAAGCAGTGCCGACCTTGGCGCGAATAAAAAGGATGATGGGCCCAACCCAACAGGAGGAGGAGGAGGGAGACAAAGAGGCGCGAGCATGGCCAAGTCTAATGGCGGATGGCTGCCGCCGGGAACGAGGCAGGAACATACATGGAGGGTTGGGGACGGGCGTGGGCAGAATGGTGCCGAAGTTTCAGGGCCGGCGGGAGTTGCTGTTATGTCTTAGGATAGATACAGGTTTAGATAGCATCAAACCGGCATTGTTGGATTTGATTGTAATGATATTCTGAAGAGATTTTATTCTGTAGAGGTTTTTCTGGTTGTTGTTATTGAATGCAATATGTTTTGGATGCCCTGCGTTGTGGTTTTGGGCAATTTGGGCTTTTAGACTTCAGTTTTTGTTGACTTCAAGAGGGAATGGTGTTTAGAAAAGCAAATGGGATAATGCCTGGCCGGGGAGATGGAATGGGAAGAATTATGAGAGCGAAGTGCAAACTTCTTTGAAGCGAAACCTCAAGTAAGTACGCTTAAAACCTTCCTTTTGATGTCTTCCTCTTTGGGTGAACGTCTTTCCCCACCCTTTGCCATTTCCTTTCTCCAACGGCCGGGGCTTTTTAATATTATTTTTTTTTTTTTTTTTTTTTTGTTGGTGTCTCTTTTCCCAACTTCTCTTTTCCCCCCATCATCTTCTCTTTGTTCCTTGTCACAACTATCTCTACTTACCTTCATGGAAAAACAACACATGGAGTTCTACAGTGCATCCAAAGTGGAAGAAAGGTAGAGAGATTGGACCACAACTCTAAATTTCAAACATCAAACACACTAGGTTATTTATCTCGAAGAACGTCACCTAGAGCGAGCGCGAATCAAATGACACATGTCCAACCACATCATATACTCGAATGAAGGATTCAAAAAGAGTCTATATAATCAAGACACCACATCACCAACGCTGAATCACGTTAACGTAAGCGACCCTCTGACATTCATGCCAACCCAACCAGCCAGTCCAGTCCAGTCCAGTCCAGTCTAGAACAACAAAAACGCCTTTACTGCCTGAACCAAGAAAAACCCATTCAATCGCCAATGCAATATAGGTTCTGTCATCCTTCTTCTACTGTTCCTTTTATAATCCCATCTCTTTTCGCGCCAAAGGGAGACGGAGCCCATCATTAACGATGAGTCCCCGCGCGCCCGGCAATCTCGGCCTGCTCGTTGCGCTCCTTCTCGTCGACCGGCTTATCGTGTCTCGAGTACATCTTCCACTCAAGCGAGTTGGACCAGTCCAGCTTGCCCTTCTCGACTTGTTGGCGGGTGGTGGTGAGCATCGGTTGGGGAAGACCCATTGATTCGAGGAAGGCGACGGCTGTGTGAGAAGATGTCCGTTAGTTGTTGTTCGTCTGAAGTCGAAGAGAAGAAGAAAGGGGGTGAAGTGGACATCATGGGATGACCTAGTAATGTGTAATGGAGTAATCAATGGCATGGGGCGAATAACTTACTGTCCTTCCACTCAACCTCCTTCCTCTTAGCATCCCACTTGAGCTCATCAGCCATGATGTCAATTACCTTGGGCAACGCCTCGAGCGCCGCCTGCGCATTCAAGAAGGCCAATCTCGTGCGACGAGCGAGCACGTCCACAGCCGTCTGGGCATACTCGTGCCTGACCGCGTAGCGGATCTCGCCGTCAACAAAGGGGTAAAGCTCTGCGATGCGCTCGCCCTTGGCGGGGAAGCGCTTGTTGGTGGCCTTGCACAGCGAAGCAACGGTCCAGGCGCGGTCGCCGTAGCTCTCGGTCAAGTGCTTGGCGACCTCGGTCTCGACGCCAAAGTGCTGGATCAGGTGGATGAACAAGGTGCGGCTGAAGCCGTGAGCGCCAATCAGGCGGACACGGTGCGTCTGGCAGGAGCCGTCGAGGACGGCATCGTCTTCCACGTGCTCAGTGCCGCTGACCAGGGGAGGGTTGGCGATGGGCTTGACGGGCAGGTTGAACTCCTTGACGGCGGCGTCGACGCACTCCTCGGCCATTTGGCGGTAGGTGGTCCACTTGCCACCGGCGCAGGTGATGAGGCCGGAGGGGGAGATATCGATCAGGTGGTTACGGACAAGGGACTCGGTGTTCTTGGCCTTGGGGTCCCTTACGAGAGGGCGGAGACCGGACCACGCAGCCAGGACGTCGCCGCGGCGGACGTTGATGTCGGGGGAGAGGTAGTGGCTGATCTCGTTGAGAATCCACTGGATGGACTTCTCGTCGGGGAGGGGGTTTTTGGTAATGGTCGCAGGCTCGTCGGTGGTACCGGCAATGGTGTTGCCTTGCCAGGGGAGGAAGAAGATGACTCTGCCGTCGGAGGTGGAGGGGTCGATCAGGCCCATCTTGCCAGGGCTGTAGTAACCGGGGAGGATGACGTGCACACCGGAGGCGGGAGCGACAATCTCCTTGCAGTCCTGGTCGTCCATCTTACGGATGCTGTCTGTGAAGGGACCAGTGCAGTTGATGATGCACTTGGCCTTGATGTTGAAGGGAGTCGCTTCGTTGCCGTCTCTCTCAGTGACAAGGTCCTTGAGGGTAGCACCGCAGAGCTTTCCGTTCTCACCCTTCTGAAGGCCAGTGACCTCCATGTGGTTCACAACAGTAGCACCGTAGAGGGCGGCAGTCATACCGATCGAGACGTTCATGCGGGAGTCGTTGTGGGCACCATCGTAGTAGACGAGGGCGCCAACGAGATCGGTCTGCTTGAGCATGGGGAAGGCATCAATAGCCTTGCTCTTGGTCAAAAAGTATGAGCTCTCGATGCCCTCGGAACCAGCCAGGAAATCGTAGAACTTGGTGCCAGCCCAGTAGTAAGGAACCTTCCACCACTGGTCGAGTGGCAACATGATGGGTAGCCACGAGCTCAGATGGGGCGCAGTCTTCAAGAAGTACTTGCGCTCCTTGAGGGCCTCCTTGACAAGCTCATACTGGGCGTAGTCCAAGTTCCAGACGGCCTTTTCGAGATAACGCACACCACCGTGTACCAGCTTGGTGCTCTTGCTGCTTGTCCCGGAACTGAAGTCGTCTCGCTCGACAACGGCGACCTTGAGACCGCGAGTTGCGGCATCGAGAGCCACGCCGGCACCGGTTGCGCCAGCTCCGATAACAAGCACATCATATTCGTCCTCCTTGTTTCCCGAGTTGCTCTTTTTTAGATCGGCAATCTGCTGGTCGCGAGACTTGACCTGGGGGAAGCGGGGGAGTTTGAAGGTGCCGTCGGCGCCGAAGATAGGGAGCGGGACAACGGGGCCTTCGTACCCGGGGATGTTTCGGGGCTTATACATGTAGTAGAGGGAGCCACCAGCGACACCGGCCACAAGAGCCGGGGCGACCAGCTTCTTTGCTCGCAATAGCCTCGACATTTTGGGTGGTAGATTAAAAATATAGTGAAAAGATGATTAGGGGTTTAACTACGCCGAAACGAAGAGAAGAAGAAGAGAAAAGTTTTGTCGAGGGGGCGCGAAGTCGTCGCACGGGTAGGAGGCGGCAGACTGACTGACTGACTGACTAGTCAGGTGTGTAGGAGGGAGAATGCGACGGTGGTGTTGTCGAGACAGGGGTATCCACCGATGACGCAACCGAAGTATTGGCGGTTGGTTATTGAAGTTGTCAGGAAGAGTCGAGACTTCCTTTTTGCAGAGAGAGAGAGGGAAAAAAATACACACACACAAAGAGCTCAGTCTCTGGTTTTTATTTTTGAAGTCCAAAAAATAAGAAACGAGGGGTAGGATGTTGATCCGGCTCTCCTGGTTTGACCCAAGAACGAGTCGGACGTGTTTTGTCTTGGCTCTGGCCGATCGCGATGGGAACTACGCAATTAGGCCTAATGTTGCTGGAGATGAGTCGGAGATCTCTACTCTGTTAGTTTCCCCTCGCTGCTCGTCTAGCCACTGGACTGGTCAGCGGACAGACATCCAGAATTCAGCAGGTCAGGTACACGCGGGGGCGTGGAGACACACCGACGATTACACCGCTGGCGATGTGCACTCCAAGTTGTCTTGTTGGACAGTCCAGTCCTCCGCATGGAACATGTGTTGCAACAAGTCTTGCTAAAGAGAAGAGAAATTACCAACCTGTAAAGCGTGTTGTCATAGACTTTGGAGACTCGCGTTAACCCAAAGAGCGAGGTGTCTCTTGACAGCGAAGAGCCTTGTTGAGTTGTTGCCCCCAAACTGGTTGTTGGCGAACTGCTTGCTTTGTCAAGTTTCTTTGTTGTGTCTGTTGTTCACGACTAACTACGGATACTCGGAACGGAATCTTCTATGTTGGTTGACACTTTGTTGGTAGGGAGGGGCTGTGTAAGACTGGACGAACTATTGAATAGAAAAATGGGATGATACCCGAAAGAGATGGAATCTGGAGAACCGACCAAAATCGTGACTGAGAAGCAGACATTCTTTTGATAGTTCTATCATCTTCTCGGTCTTCGGATGAATCGTGTGCCTGTAACTGACAACGCAACTTTTTTTTTTTTTTTTTTTTTTTTTCTTCTTTCTTTTCCCAGTCATATTGATCACATTGATGCCCCCAGTTTGCGAAGGAGGGTTGAACATAGCCTGTGTCCAAGGGAATATTGTGGAAAACAAAATGTGACCCGAGAGTAGCCAATTTGGGATGCAATTCACATTCTTCCATGTTCAAGCTCAAGGTCCCCCTCATTCATGCCGGTGATTTTCGTTAGCTGCCCCGCGAAACAGTGACTGAGACAACACCCAATTGCCCTCACTGCATTAACAGTGGTACCTGATGCACCTGTCACTCAACTGTGTTACCAGCATGGAGCTAAATGCGTCGTCCCCTCACACGGCTTGTGTACAAATCCCCTGAAGCTAGAGCTACACCCTGACCTTACCCGCCCGCTTGTATTCAAATGATCCTGTTCACGGCCCCGCCACGGGCAAGTCTGGCCCC